AAGGAGGACAGTATGAAGGTTCCTTAAAAAACTAAAAACAGAGTTACCATATGACCTAGCAATCCCATTCCCAGGCATAAGTCCAGAGGAAACTCTAATTCAGAAAGATACCTGCACCCCAGTGTTCGTAGCAGCATTTTTTACAACAGCCAAGACATGGAAGCAACTAAACTGTCCATCCACAGATGAATACATAAAGAAGTTCTGGTATATTTATACAACGGAACACTACTCAGCCATAAAAAGGAATGAAATAATGTCATTTGCAGCAACATGGATGGACCTAGAGATTATCATACTAAAGTGAAGGTAGTCAGAGGAAGACAAATGCCATATGATATCACTTACACGTGGAATCTAAAAAAATGACACAAGGGAACTTACTTACAAAACAGAAAGAGACTCACAGACATAGAAAACAAACATGGTTATGGGGGAGGGGAGGGAGGTTTGGGAGTCTGGGATTGGCAGATATCAACTACTATGTACAGAATAGATAAATAACAAGGTCCTACTGTACAGCACAGGGAACTATATTCAATGACTTGTAACCCGCAAAGAAAAAGTATATATGTGTATACACATTTATATACATATAAACATAACTGAATGACTACGCTATATACCAGAAACTAATACAACATTGGAAATCAACTACACTTCTATTTTTTCAATGTGAAAAAAATATTCTGAGAGACAGAATCAGGATTCCTTTAAACGATCATGGATTCTTTAATTCACTGGACTATCCTCCAAATCAACACAGAAGTTTAAAAGTGGTTTTAGCTTGTGCGATTGTTCATTCTTCATCCAACTTCACTCAAGTATTTTTACTGAGGGCTCATGTTCATCACCAGCAAAATGGTCTTATGATCTTTGACTCCAAAAGATCAAAAGGCCAACTCAGCCCCTGGAAGAAGCACCACGCTGGGTGCGGGCTGTCTTCGTGAATGGAGCCGCGGCACTGCGTGCATCCTGGGGTCCATCTGTGCCCGAGTCTCTCGGCAAGAAACCGGGTGATGAAGGAAGCTGCTGAGGGGCCGAGGCACAGAACCTGGGAGGGAACACAGGGCTCTGGAGGCACCGTCCGGCACTGTGCAGACTTCTCCCGGAGAACACACACTGCCCCCTAGAACTGTGTGGAACTTTCTGAACTGGCTCGGGAACGATCCCTGGATCCTTAAAATATTCTTGCAGTATTTTCGATCTTACACTTGAAACAACTTTTGAAGCTGGAAACCTCAAATGTAGCTCTTAGTTAAACACACATACACACTGACTCTGGCCCACTTAGCATCTTCCTTGAGGAGGGCTCAGGGGCCAGGCTGGCCTTGGGTATCGTTACATTAAAGCTTGACCATAATCTCAGTTGGGGTGGCCAGGCTCTGAGTTAACAACATCTCCTAAGCAAATTCTCAGAGGCTAGGCTAACTTCTCCATCAGAGTGTCTGTTTATCAATTTCTAGTAAGAAGTGCATGTGCTGAAAGAATCAGTACAACCACTCGTGGGACAGTGGCCTCGACTTGGGGACCAAAGTCAATAACAAGGTGACGCGTATCAACTCACCCCATGGGTACAAAGCTCAGCTCAGCACAATCCGAAGAAAGTGCGTGTCAGTGAAGAAGGAAACACGCGCTGGGCATGGCTGGTGTTGAGGCATCTTTATTTAACCCTCTAGTCAGTAACACAAAACCCTGAACAAAGACTTCAAGTGCAAGGCCCTGGGGTCCTTAGGTTCAGCATTCAGCAAACGTCTGGTGGGTACTTAGTCTGTGCCCAGCACTGAGGCTGTAACGTGAGGGAACCCCGTCCCCGCTCCAGGGAGCCCTGCTGCCCAGGGAGAGAGAGGGTGACTGCCCGGTGGTGATCAGGCTACTGACAGGACTACACCTGGGGGAGACACCAAAACCAGAGTGTGGGCCGGGCAGAGCCACGGTTCTGTCCAGCTGGGCGAGTCAGCAGCCACTCCCCAGATTCACACCTGCCGCAGGTGCACGAGGCCCCCCGACAAGTCCCCTCCTAAAAGCGCCACTGTTCAGACCTTCGCTGTAACATCACCTGTCTTAGTTGCAACAAACTTCCAGCACTTACTGCAATGCAAATCAACAGATCGGCTAGCTTCTTTAAACAAGTTAAGTACTTAAGTGCCTACCAACAGAAAAATGAGCCTTTCTTAGGTGCTGCAGAGGCCTAAGCAGGACACAGCCCGTGCCCCCAGACCGCCCACAGACCGCAAGTTCCCTGTCTCAGGACGAGGCATGAGCCAGACTTCCTCCACTGCCGCCGATCTGCTCCCCTGACACACACACGGCGCCTGACCCGCCACGGGGCGGCGAGGCCCCTTCTGCTGGGTTCTGGTGCACAGCACCCCTCGTCCCCCCGTGGGCATCACAGATCAAAGTCTCGGCGCCAGTCTGCGGACTGAGAGAGCGCTTTCTTGACCTTTTCCCTAAACCATCTTCCAATTCAGATCTTGGGTCCTAACTGACTACAAATCTCTATGAACACTGCTGTTCCCCAGCAGCCATGACACCTGCAGCCTCTCAGTCCTTAAGGTAAGATGGTTGAACCCAGCAACCTACAAACATCTCCTCGTCAGGCTCACCGGCCACCCAGACCCGGAAGCCGGCAGGAACCCTCCACCCCACCTTTCCAAAGCAGAGGTCACAGGACCAGGTCAGCCTAGCTCACAAACACACTCTAGAGGGACCCGAACAATCATCCTAGATGGCTCTTTCCACGCTGGGTTTGCACCTACCTCGTTCTCCATGGGACACCCCGTCGGAAAGTCTGTTTGAGGAGATATTTCTTTGGAGGAATTCTGGTTCCTCCCCCTCTGCCGATAGTTACTGTGCATTCTCCTCTGTTCACTTCTGATCTTGTTGAAAAATATGGTCAGATGTTAGCCCTCCCTCTGAAAAAAACATGTGAATGAACAGGAAGACCAGAAACCACAGCTTCCTTCTGCAAACCCCACTGAAGCTGTTTATGGTTTTTACAAAAAGTTTAAGAGGCAGGCAACACCCTGAAAACTGCTGGCAAAAATCTATACAGCCTGCGTGCATGAAAGGATGCCAAGTAAACCCGCACATCTTTATAGTAAACCAGCACCTCCTCCTGACTAAACCAGGGCATCTTCTAACTGAACCGGCGCACTTCTTACTAAACCAGCAAATATACTTACTAAACCAGCGCATCTTCTAACTAAACCCAGTGCATCTTCTTACTAAACCAGTGCATCTTCTATCTAACAAGCACATCTTCCTTGCTACCTCCAGCACGCAGAACCCATGGGTGGCTTCCCCATATTTCTAGCCAATACTGTGTAGTCAGTTGAAGGACATTATTTTGGGAGCCCGACCATTTTGCAAACGCCAAAGTTAGAAAGAGTAAACAAGGAAACTGAGAACACTGCTGGGGCTCCCCCTCCTGGCCGTGTGGCATCGCCTACATGGTGGGACCCGCTGACCTGGCTGTTGTCTGCTTCAGGGCACAGGAGACGGGGGCTTGGGCAGAGCACACCTTCTTCACGACCCTCAGCCTGCAAAAGCCTCTACCTGCCTCCAGGACTCTTGAGTTTGCAACACAACTTTGAAACTAAAGACTTTATCCCTGAGCAAGCTCACTTTAACTTCCTCAGGGTCCAATCTTATCCTGAAAAGAAGAAGTTGGGTGTGTTGCTAGTGAAGGCCCTTACACTCTGGATGTTCTAGAGTGGCTACAAATAGGAGAGGCTACTTAATTAAATGTTCTGCCGAATTACAGTGACCATATACACTCACAGATCAATAGCCAAACATAACGAGTACAATTTCATTAGATTCATTAATATTAGGTTAAGAAAAATATATATATTAGGTTAAGATTAGACTGATTCGATCAAAGTGCTAATATTCAACAGTTTTCTGCCAATAAAAATGGCTATTTCATAGGATTCAACTTAAACTGTAACAAAGTTTAGTATTTCTTGATTCCGAAAAGAGTGCTTCAGACCAGTAACTTCATGCCTCGATTATTACTCCATAAGCCACAGGTGTACACCAGAAAAGCAGTACTGAACTAGCTTTGTTTGAATGCACATCTGGTATTGACCAAATTGTCCCTTTATCTCTTCAGAGACTCAGGGCACCATGTGCATCGTCTGGACTCCAATTTCTCCTTCTTTCTAAAAGCTGCCCCTGCCAGGTGGCCCTGACCTCCACTGCGGATGCTGAGGGGAAAGGGAAGCAGCAGCGAGATACAGACACCTCTGGATGCAGAGGGGCCCCCACGGCTTGTCTTGGTGACTGCTCCCCGCAGCTCCCCCTGCGTGCGACACACAGCTCTTCGGAAAGACCCACAGCCGCCCCTCCAGGGGAAACAGATACAACTAAAAGGAGCCCACCAGCTGCACACACAGCCGACCTGCCCTGCCTTCACAGATGCAACAATCACCACGGTCAGCACGAAGAGGAAGGCCAGTGAGCACACGAGCGCGAAGGAGAGGCCGGATGGGGACTTAAACTGCAGAGTGCTCAGAGGCATTTCAGGAGAACTGCAGGCACAAATGCAGCTATGGGATGGGCCGTAGGCGGGAGGGAGGGAGCAAGAAAAGCATCTTAGAGATTACAAATATAATTGCCAAAATAAAGAGTTCAGCAGAAGAGCTGAATAATAAAATGGGCGTAGCTGACAGCCAAATTAGTGACCCGAAGGACGCAGACTTCTACGAATGAACATTTCAATCAACCTGACAGACAGCACTAATGCTGAACCCCAATTACCCAAAATGTTAGCCCCCAAAAGAATTCCATTCTCAGTAGGACTGTACAAAGAACCTGTACTCAGTGATGACCATACTTTGAATGCTGTCAACGAAAATGTGGAAATTTGTCTTCTTTCTTTTTATGTAGTATCTACTTAATATCCTTGGTCTTACCTCTTGGTCCACAAAGCCCAAAACACTTACTACCTGGTCCTTTATGTGAAAAGATTGTCGACCCTATCCCAGAACGTACAGCAAAAGACGAAAAACCAGAAAGTATGAGAAAGATCAAAGGCCACGGAAGTCCGATCCACAACGTCTCTTGGTGACCTTGGAGGAGACAGGACAGACAGAGCAAGGAGGCACCCAGACAACAGAAGAGGCCGACGAATGACTCGGCTCTGCAGGCAGAAAAGGCCTGGCACCAGGAAGGCTCACTGGGAGAGAGACACTCAGACCCGTTCTTGTGAAAGTGCAGGATTTCAAGAGGAAATCTAAAGATTTCCCGTAAGGAAAAATGAAAAGGTTTCCTGGAAAGGAGCAAGGATCAGACAGCATTAGGTGCTTCATGCCAGCAGGGGACACAGCGATCCCTCCAAAGTTCTCAGGGCAAATTACTTTGAACCTAGAAGCTAATACAAAGCCAAACTGTCAATCAAGTTTAGGCAACATAAAGTTATCTTCATATTTGCAGTGCCTTGGAATTTTTACACCTTAAAAACCCTTTCTGAAAAACATACTAGGGTATTACTACCAGGAAAAAAAAAGGTATAAGGGAGAAAAAGAAATGAACTCCAGGAAAGAGTGGAACTGACCCAGGAACGCATGCAATTAAAGAAATTCCAGGAAGATAGTCATGCACCGATCCAGCAAACCAACTGACTCAAATTAAAACAGAACAGTAAGGGAAGGGATGTGTGTAGCTCAGTGGTAGAGTGCACGCTTAGCATGCACAAGGTCCTGGGTTCAATCCCCAGTACTGCCAGAAAAATAAAAAAAGTAGCGAGTCCCAAAGGAAAATGTGAGAAGAATCCATTACATAAATTATATGATTAAGATCCTAGTTCCTGATGATAAAAATGACTCTTTTGAAAGAAAAGCAATTTGTTAGAAACTCCAGAAAACAGAAAGTTGGTCCAAAAAAAAAAATCCACACATCATGATCCCAATGAGAAACATACTAACCCATGGCCTGATTCTCCAGAACACAAGCATAGACTGACAGTCTCCATTTGACTGCAATGCTTGACACAGTCTCCTTCAGAAATACAGATTCCGTGGCAAAAAAATTACATTTTCCACTCAGTCTAATCACACTATTTGAACTAGAAGTCAGGCTATATTCAGGTACTAGGTGTGCTCGTTGCTTCTGGGTGTTTTCAGTGGATGCACCTAAGAAACACATGGCTTTAAAAAGAAAACTCATAGGTTGGGAGGGTATAGCTCAGTGGTAGAGCACATGCTTAGCAGGCATGAGGTCCTGGGTTCAATCCCCAGTACCTTCGTTAAAATAAATAAACCTAATTACCTCCCCCCACCAAAAAAAACAAACAACAACAACAACAAAAGAAAATTCATGAATTCAAACTGATATTCTAATTCAAAATGAATCAAATAGAATTTTTTTTTAAGTTCTTTAACCTTACCCTTGTCTCTGTTTTACCCTTACATGAAAAGTCTTGGCTCCTAATGACATGTTTAAATGATCGCTTCCCAAGACTGAGTCCCCCACTGCCTGGTTATCCAGCAGCCCCGATGCTGGTGCGCACTCATGGCCAGTGCTCGGGGTGGTAAGAACCAGGTCTCCTCGTCTCAGTACCCCCTGCGACGCCTTCCCAAAGCCCGGGTGCGGCAGGCGTCTGCTCGGTGGAGTCTGGGTGGTTCGTGTCTGGGTAACCTCAGCAGGCTGCCTCTCTGAGCCTAGTGTCCTTTGGACAGAGGTCCCAGGACTGAACCCGGAGATCCGCATGAGGCCAGCAAGCACTGCCTCCCCCCTGCACATCCCCTCTCCCGGCACAGCCCCTTGGCCCCCCGTGGCAGGGAGGGACTCCTCACCTTCTCAAGGACCCCAAGCCCACTGAGGGAGAGGTGAGACAGAAGACCAGCCCTGAAACTGCGATGATACTTAACCTCACCCTAACTCAATCTCACCATCCCTCATTCTCTTGGCAACTTTCCCCTCCTCAACTATTTGGTCGCCCTGAGGTAACAGATCACTCATTCAGAGAAGTCGAGTTAAACCCATCATCCTTTCCCTTCAGCCATAGCTTTCAAAGTTATGGGCATTCCTTAGAATCGCCCACAGTAAACAATACTTTAGTCATCATCTTATAAATGCTCCAGTTGCACCATCCCTGACGAGCAGCGGTCTCTTCAAAGTGGACCCTGGAGGCCCCTGACGGCTCCCCTGACCTGGAATCGGCCACTGCTCCGAGGGGCGCTGCTGCCCCCTAGCGGGAAATGCTGGTGCAGACCCACCGCTCCCCCGGGGTGCGCACTGCCTCATCCTTTCTGGGACTTTGCGACAGAGAGAGTGAGGAGGTCTTTTTCTTGGGGAAAGACCTCATGAGTCCATAGTGATATTTCCAATTCAAATTGAGGACTACAAGCTCATTAATTACCTTCTTTGGTATCACTCATAGTGATAAGCCTGTGTGTAATGCTGTCAATGTTGCTACATGTTCACTTTACCCTAAAACAAATGGAACAGTTGCAAAAAAACGATACCAGTATTATTACTAATAAAGTGATTACTGAAAACAATTGTTTAGGGGTTTTTTTGTATTTTTTCTTGTCCATAGTGCTTGTCCCACTGCAGGCATACTGTCGGATTTCTATGATTTATTTACTTGAAATAACTCTTCTCTGTGAGGTTATGTGTTTCATTTGTTTATGCATTTCTATAAATACTTTGCTCTTGATTTTTAAAGTGATTTTTTTTAATATTTTGATTCAATTTGTAATACTGTGAAACATGACATGGTTCCAAACTCACAAGACCCATGCTGAGACCACCCCTCCCTCCTAGATGATTATCTAAGAAAGATCAGCGAGTACAGATCCACACGCACACACGGAAGTACCCGCGCACATGCACACACACGTCCCGGAGCCTGTGTGCGGGGCGGGGCGCTGCCGCGCACCCCACCCGGTGGAGAGAGCACTGCTGA